CTCTATCTTGGAAACTTCTTATTGTAGGAAAAATAACAAATATTGATTTAAATCATAATCTGTTGACAAGTGAATGGACTGAATTGGAAAATATTTCTAACTTTCACATATGCATTCTGTTAGGAAACTCAGATTATATAGATATATTTATTAATAAAAATGTATGAAATAATATGTATTAGGTCGGTAACTTTTTACAGACATGTATAATTAATATATTCTATTTACATTTCTTAATAAAAATAGATATCCTCAGCATTCTGAGGAGAACATTAATTTGTAACAGATGATTGCACAAAAAGAAAGCAAATTTTATTTTAAGTCTTCATTAATGGACTGAAAGAGAGAATAAAGGGAAGCTCATTAAATTCTCCACTGATACCCAATTATAAATTTTCTCACACTAGAAAGGCCAGTAAAGTTATATAAATAGGTTTAGAGAGTGTGGGTTGATGTGAACAAGAATAAAATTATGGGTAATTTTATTGTTCAATGACAAAGTAATACATTTGGAAGAGATGAAAAACTGTGACAATAATATATTTGAAAGGTAGTATGGCTAAAAAGAATTAGATATTCAGGGTAAATATAGAAGTAAATATTCAATGTGATGTGAGGTATCCATAGTCTGTACTGGCCATCAGACCTCAATATACCTGTTTATTTTATGTACTCTTTATTTGTTCTAACTAGTTGTACATGACAGTAGAAAGTATTTTGACATATTATACATATATGGAGTATACTTTCTCGTTCTTCTGGTTATACATAATTTAGAACTACATTGATTGTGTAATCATATATGCATATTGGATAGTAATGTCTGATTTATTTTATTATCTTTCCTATTCCTATCCCCCACTTCCCTTCATTCCTCTTGTCTAATCCAAAGTACTTCTATTCTTCCCTAACACCCCCCCTATTGTGTATTAACATCCACAAACCAGAGAAAACAGCCAGCCTTTGTTTTTTTTTTTGTTGTTGTTGTTTGTTTTTTTTTATGAGGTTGGACCAAATCGCCCCAAACAAACCAAGATGCTCCAATAATAGAACCATTGATACCACAGTGGAGGAAATGTCAGAGAGGGAGAATGTACATAGTTAAACATAGTTAAACTGATCTGAGAAGTAAAGGATGATATAAGGAGTGAAATCAGAGATAAAATTCAGGAGGTGAAAGATCACTTTAATAAAGTGATAGGGATTCTGAAAAGAAATCAAACAGAAATCCTCAAAATGAAAGAATCATTAAACCAAATTAAAAATTCAATGGAAAGCATCACCAATAGACTAGACCACTTGGAAGACAGAGTTTCAGGCAATGAAGAAAAAATATATAATCTTGAAAATAAAGTTGACCATGGAGAGGAGATGTTAAGAGACTATGAACAGAGCTTCCAAGAAATATAAGATAACATGAAAAGACCAAATTTAAGATTTATTGGGATAGATGAAGGCACCAAGATATAAACCAAAGGAATGCACAATATTTTCAATGAGATAATATCAGAAAATTTCCCAAACCTAAAGAATGAAAAGTAAAATCAAATACAGGATGTTTATAGGAGCCCAAATGTATAAAATTACAACAGACCCACACCAAGGCACATTATTATGAAAATTTCTAACATACAGAATAAGGATAGAATTTTTAAAAATAAGTTTATTTATTTTAATTAGGTATATATGACAGCAGAATGCATTTTGATTCATTGTACACAATTTCAGCACAACTTCACATTTCTATGGTTGTACATGATGTAGGGTCACACCATATGTGCAGTCCTACATGTACCTAGGGTAATGATGTCCATCTCATTCTATCTTTCCTGCCCCCATGCTCCCTCCCTACCCTCTCTCCCCTTTGCCCAAAGTTCCTCCATTTTTTCCCCATGCCTCCCCCATACCCGTTTTGGATTAGCATCTACTTATCAGAGAGAACATTTGACCTTTGGTGTTTTGGAATTGGCTTACTTCACTCAGCATGATAAGGAATAAGGATAGAATTGTAAAGGCTGCTAGAGAAAATGTCATTATGTTTAGTGAGAAACTAATTCAGGTCTCAGCTGCTTTCTCAACCCAGACCCTCAAAGCTAGGAGGTCTTGGAATAATATACACCAAGCTCTGAAAGAAAATGGATGCCAACCAAGAATACTATACCTAGCAAAATTAAACTTCAGGTTTTAAGGTGAAATAAAAAACCTTCCATGATAAACACAAGTTAAAAAAAATTCACAATTAGAAAACCTGCACTACAGAGTATTCTCAGCAAAATATTCAAAGAATATGAAATGAAAAAAAAAACTGAAAATAAGCAAGGGAAGAAGCTACACTAAAAGAATGGTCAATCAAAGGAGAAAATAATTAAAATTAAAAGTCAACATACCTATTTAAATGACAAAAGTTAAATACATCATCAAAAGCATACTTGGGATCTGGAGGCAGATAGTTTGAGTCACAATCTGGGTTCTGCCATTTATTTGTACAAATTAATTTACTTTCCTACACTTCATTTTTCTTTTTTTAAAAAATATTTTTCAGTTGTAGTTGGACACGATATCTTTATTTTATGTAGTCATTTATTTTTTATGTGGTGCTGAGGATCGAACCCAGTGCCTTGCATGTGCTAGGTGAGCACTCTACCACTGAGCCCCAACCCCAGTCCTGACACTTCATTTTTCTTATGCATAAAATATATACAATAATTTTCTTTCTCACAGAAATAAAGAATATAGTCCTGGCTGGAGAGTGTGAAGTTTATGGGTCAAAGTTCAAATCATTTGCATGGCACATAGGGCTCTTCCATTTCCAACCCCTATTCCTTTCTAGCTCTTTATACCTAGGTATTTTCATTTTTGCATTCCAATTTTCGGTTAACACAAGCTTTTACTTCTCTTGGAATTATAAATCTTTACAAAAACTAATCTTTGTTTCTGAAATGGGAGAAAAAAAATCTTTCTTCTTAAGAATGTGAAGGGTCTGTGATTTCTACACTACTAGCAACTGATAAGGTAGTGTGAATTTTATGATCATAATCAAAATCCCTTGATTAAAGATAAAGATCTCCATTACTCATTTTGCACAACAGGATGCATGAATTTATGTTTGTGTCAGGTTTTCTTGCTCTAGAAGTCCCACAAAGGCAACACAGTGTAGCCTAGGTAGATGCTGCAAACATGCTCAGTCATAGCTAAGGAGCCCTAGACTTAGGAAACCAAAATATTCTATAATGGACCTCAAACAAACCACCATGAACTTTGCCCCAGATGGAGACATTATGTTTATTATATTGAACAGCAAACAAAACTGCCATCTGTTCTGGAGAAGAATAGTATATCTAGTTTCCCAGGCTATAAAGACATCTTTGTTCAGTATTACAAATCATAAACCCATCTCAACAGCTTGTCTTTATTTAAAAAGTTGATTTTTTTTGCATTAATTTTGATTTTTAAAAATATTGCATTAAAATGCTTATTTTCATGACTGAACATTTTGCCATTCCTTTGAATTTTGTGCCTGAAACAAGCATACCTTTCATACCTCACCACAGTCCTGTCCATGTGCAAAAATACAACAAAACAAAAAATACATAGTGACATATATATTTGTGTACAATTTTTATATCCCTTTCTCTATAGCAATATTGATACACACATTCTTTTTCTTCATTGACACTAAAATAATTTGTTACATAAGCTGTCTGTACCTTACTTTTCTGCTTAATAATATATTTTCTTCACTTTATCATAAACATACAAATCTAATTCATTTAAAAAAACATTATTATTATAAACATGAATATTTATGGATTATAGTGTGATAATTTGATATATGCATACAGATATACTGAACAAATCACAATAAAATATTTCCATATCCTTAAACATTTTCTAAACAATTTTTTGTTAACATTATAATTGTACCTATTTAGGGTACAATATGCTATTTCAATATATGTATAAAATATGTACTTATCAAATCAGGGTAATTAGTATCTTAATCTCTTCATTACATTGTGTTTGAAGAGTTTGAGTTCCTCTTTTCTAGTTATTCATAAAATATTTTAGAGGTCCACAATCTTCCACAGGATTGATGCACTGTACTTTTATTGATGGATTTTGAAGTGTTCCACTTCTTTGTAATTAAAAGCAATGATGTTGTAAACATCCTTTTACCAACCATGGTGAAGTGGAAGTAGAGAACAAATTGTGAATATTAAAATTGCTGGATTAAAGAGTTTGCATGATTCCACATTTAGTAAATATTATCAAGTTGCTTCCAAAAACTCTTTATGCTTCCACTAATAAGGTACTGAAGGACCCCAAGGCCCCAGGCCCAACATTAGGAAATCTAACCCCTGTGCCCTGAAGCTGCAAGATGTTCTCTTACACAACCCCCATGTCAAAACCCCACCAGCTGCACGTAGCATTTCAAGTCTTGCACAATGCCACCACAAGATGTTCCATATAGATAACCCCGGAAGGGCCAAACTTGAGCAAACAGGGTAAAAACAGGAACTAAACAGGGTAAAAACAGGAACTAAAAGGACAGGATGCAATTTTATGGTTTTTCCGAGAACTAAAGTGGAAAAACAAGTTTACCCCCCAGGTGACCTAAAGGCTGGATTCAGAGGAACCAATAGAATAACTGTTACTGTGCTAAGCTAAAAACTAACCCCCTGCTTCCTATAAAAGATCTGTTCCTAGAGCCCGGTGTGCCAGTCACCAAAGCTTCGGCTGAGGTTCCACTGAGCACCCGCAGGCGCCTGTGTATGAATAAACAGCCTCCTGCTTTTTGCAGCCAGTGTCTCGTGTGGTTCATTCCGGGTTTGAGATCTGTGGTTCTTTCATTTTGGAGGTCCCACCGAGATTCCCGGTTCCAACCCAGATCCCTATCCGGAGGACACCCGACATCACTGGGAGGTAAGCCGGCCAGCTCGAGCTCTCTGATTTGTTGGTCTAATGTTCAGTGTCTTGCGCAGCGTCTGTAAGACTATGCATAGTCATCCAGTATTTTGAGGCAGCTTGAGAAGGAGTTGATGAATTCAGACTTCTCCCCTGCCACCCTGGGAGACGTCCCAGGGATCAGAGGGGCCCGTTTCTTCGGGGCCCCCAGTGTTTCCGAGGGATACACTGTCTTTGTAGGCAACGGAGAAACCCGTGCTTCTCCCAGGCCGTCTGATACTTTCGGTTTCCACCGAAGTCGCGCAGCGCTCTTCCTGTTCGGTCTCGTCTTTGTGTCTGTGTGTTTGTCTCTTTACTTTCTCTCTACAACTAACATGGGGCACTCACTGACCACTCCTTTGAGTCTCACTCTAGATCATTGGCAAGATGTTCAAGATCGGGCAAACAACCTGTCCGTGACAATCAAGAAAAAGAAATGGAAAACACTCTGCACCTCGGAATGGCCAGCCTTCAACACTGGCTGGCCGGCAGAAGGGACTTTTAACATTAATCTTATCTTACAGGTGAAATCCCAAATCTTTACCCATGGTCCTCATGGACACCCCGACCAGGTACCCTATATAGTTACCTGGGAAGATCTGACCTCCAATCCACCCCCTTGGGTGGTTCCTTTCTCTCCTCCCAAACCCCTTGAACCTTCTGCTCCCCTCATCCCCGTTCCCCCTCCCTCTTCTCAAACCTCTCAACTTTACCCCGTTCTTAACAAATCTGAGACCTTAATTAAAGCAAGGGCAACGCCAAAGAAGGTTCTGCCGCCAGAAGACTCAACTCTGATTGACCTGCTGACTGACGAGCCTCCTCCTTACCAGCCCCAACCCTTACAAGCCCCTGAGCCCGATCAACAATCCTCAGAGGAGGAAAACAACCAGGAGGGTCCAACCGCCAGTGCTCCCCTGGATCCATCTCCCATGGTGGGACGACTCCAGGGACATCGAGACCACACCGCCTTGGGGGACACCTCTAAAGTCCTCCCCCTACGACAAACAGGGGGCCCCAATGGCCAATATCAGTACTGGCCTTTCTCTGCCTCTGACCTCTATAACTGGAAAACCCATAACCCTTCCTTTACTAAGGACCCTATAGCTCTAACTTCTTTGATTGAATCTATTCTAGTAACTCACCAGCCAACATGGGATGATTGCCAGCAGCTCTTACAGATACTCCTCACTTCAGAGGAAAAACAAAATGTTCTCTTGGAAGCTCGCAAAAATGTGCCAGGGGACGACGGGCGCCCCACCCAACTCCCAAATTTGATTAACGAAGCTTTTCCTTTAACCCGGCCAAACTGGGACTATGCAACTGAAGCAGGTAGGAACCACCTACGTCTCTATCGCCAGTTACTCATAGCGGGTCTCCATGGAGCAGGGCGACGGCCCACCAATTTGGCTCAGGTAAGACAGACTATCCAGGGGTCAGAGGAAACTCCAACAGCCTTCCTAGAGAGATTAAAAGAGGCTTATCGGAGGTTTACTCCCTTTGATCCTGATAGTGAGGACCAGAAAGGAAACATTTCTATGGCTTTTATTTGGCAGTCCGCCCCAGACATCAGGACTAAATTGCAAAGATTAGATAATCTACAGGATTTTTCTCTAGCAGATTTACTGAAGGAAGCTGAAAAGATATTTAACAAAAGAGAAACTCCAGAAGAACGAGAAGATAGGATTAGAAAGATGCAAGAAGAACGAGACCTTAAGCTTAGGGAAGAATCAGATAAGAGAGAGAGGGAAAAAGACCGGAGGCGTAATAGGGAACTGAGTAAGATATTGGCCACTGTAGTTCAGGCAGGACAGCAGGGAGACAAGATAAACAGGGACAGGGAACGGAGCAAACCCCGTGTAGACCGAGACCAATGTGCCTACTGCAAGGAAAAAGGACACTGGGTAAAAGACTGCCCAAAGAGACCCCCCAACCCCAGAAGAGGTACAAATCGGACCCCCAACTGCTAGCCTTAGACGAAGACTAGGGGAGTCAGGGCCAGGAGCTCCCCCCTGAGCCCCGGGTAACTCTGCAAGTAGGGGGGCAACCTGTGACCTTCCTAGTGGATACAGGAGCCCAACACTCGGTGCTGACGCAAGCACCAGGGCCCATGAGCCACAAAACGACATGGGTTCAAGGTGCCACCGGGAGCAAACCATACCGATGGACCACCAAAAGAGAAGTACACCTTGCCACAGGTAAGGTTTCCCATTCGTTTCTACATGTGCCTGATTGTCCATATCCACTACTAGGAAGAGACTTATTGACCAAGTTGAGAGCCCAAATTTATTTTAAGGATGGGAGTGCCTCCATCACAGGGCCAAACCAGACCCCCTTACATATATTGACTTTCAAATTGGAAGACGAATATAAACTGTTTGACAAACCTTCTGTACCTATAAAAGATATGAACTATTGGCTTAGTTCTTACCCAGAGGCCTGGGCTGAAACTGGAGGAATGGGAATGGCTAAACAACAATCTCCAATAGTCGTTCACCTAAAAGCCACTGCTACTCCCATCAGTATTAAACAATATCCTATGTCAAGGGAGGCCTATCAGGGCATCAAACCACATATCAAACGCCTCCTAGACCAAGGCATTCTAACACCTTGCCGGTCGCCCTGGAACACTCCATTGCTGCCCATCAAAAAGCCGGGAACTAATGATTACCGACCGGTCCAAGACTTAAGGGAAGTCAACAAGAGGGTAGAAGATATTCACCCCACTGTGCCAAATCCTTACAATCTCCTCAGCACCTTGCCTCCTACCCATACTTGGTATACTGTTCTGGATCTGAAAGATGCCTTTTTCTGCCTAAAACTGTCTCCCCAAAGTCAGGCTCTTTTTGCATTCGAATGGAAGGATCCAGAGGAAGGAGTCTCTGGACAACTGACCTGGACGAGACTGCCACAAGGATTTAAAAACAGCCCAACACTCTTCGATGAGGCCTTGCATCAGGATTTAGCCGATTTTCGTGTAAGACACCCTTCCTTAATCCTGCTTCAATATGTAGATGACATCTTGCTGGCTGCAGCCTCCAAGGAAGATTGCCTAACAGGTACGGAGGAATTATTGCAAACTCTGGGACTATTGGGGTACCGGGCGTCAGCAAAAAAGGCCCAAATCTGTCAGACAAAAGTTACCTATCTTGGCTATGAACTCCATGACGGTCAACGCTGGTTAACAGCTGCCAGAAAAGAGACTATCTCGAGTATACCAGCCCCCCAGAGCCCCAAGCAGCTGCGGGAATTTCTAGGGACCGCCGGTTTCTGTAGACTCTGGATTCCTGAAAAGAAATCATCTTGTTTAATACTGAAGGGTCTGTGATATCTACCTTATTAGCAACCTGACAAGTTAGTGGCCATTTTAGCTGCTCAATTCTTATTTTCTTCAGAAAATTATTTCACCTTTTGACTAAGGGGTTTCTCATTTTTGGTGCTGTCTAAAGTCTCTCCCAACTCTGTGATTTGATATCTTTTCTTCCTGTATCCTACCTCACACAAACCCAACTCTATTAACTTGACTTCTAATATTCCCTGTTGCTTTGCTTACAAAATCAACACAGTTTCTAGGAAATCTCATTATTTTTGAATGAGCATGAGTTATGACTTTCTAAAAACATCTAAAACCCAATTGTCATTGTGTGAATTTCTTTAATCAAAGACATCTCAAGAAATCAGGGTGGTTTGCCTCCCAGCAGGACCCTATTTACATCCCACTGGCTTTTCTTTCAAGGGAGTGTCAGAACTGTAGAACCCTTTCCAAAATTTCCACTTAAGTACTGTCAGTCTGAAATGTAACGTGCTTTGCATTTCATCACTATTCTATTAGTCCATGACTTGCAACTTTTTATACATTTTTACTTTTTTGTTGTTAATATTAGCATAGATTGGCAAATCATAATTCTATATATTTATAGTGTACAATGTATGTTTTGATATGTACACAATGTGGAATGATTTAATGAAAATAATTGACATATCTATAGCCTCTCTTACCTATTTGTGTGTGTGTGTGTGTGTGTGTGATATAATCCAATTTGTCCACTTTTGCATTTGTGGGATGTGCTTTAGGAATCATGTTGAAAAAGTTATTGCTTAATGTCATGGAGATTTTTCCCTATGCAACTCTTATTTTCTCAGCTTCCTTCACTTCTTTACTTATTGAATGGTGTAAACCAACAAAAATCTACAATTCCTATAAATTTCTTTACTTTTCACTGGGTGGATATGTAGAATATAAGTAATGGGTTTGTTCCATTTTTAAAAATCTATTGATAGTGTATTTTGAGATGACCAATATTCATCTAGAAATATTTTTAGAATTCATAGGAAGGTGGTTCTGGTTCCAAGGTGCCCAAAGCCATTAGGATTCTGAGGACAGTTTGTAATCACAAACTTAGTCCTCTACACTTTAGTGATAATGTAAATTATTACAGTGATGCAGTGGAGCAAGGAGGTGGGGAGGGTGGAGGTAGTCTGAAACGGAATATGTGAAATTTGTATATGAAAAAACAAATCCTTCCTTCCTTTCTTCCCTCCTCAATCCCACATAGATTTACAGAGATCTAAAATATGTAAACAGGAGAATATTATAAGTAGTCTGATAAATCTATATTCCATTGTGTGAAAACATGATTGATCTGGGGAAAATTTTTAAATATGTATAATTTGGCCAGCCTGATATATAACCATTCACTTAATTGCAGGTTGAATGACACATTTTGCCAAGTGAATATTAAAGAATGTTTAATTCATTTATTTTATTACCTGTGTATCTCCAGAGGGAATAGGGCAATGAGAGCAGAAACAGCTAATTAAATGTCTTGGTGAACTGGCAAGTAGCTAAAACTTGTTTACAAGCTTGGTATAATGCATAATTAGATTGCAGTTTTGGAGAATAAAATTCCCAATGCTTAAGATTCTAATTTTTCACCATGGGGTCAAACCTATAGATATAGACCATTGGTGGGAAATAAACAGGGCTTAGTTTCTGGAAGAAATAGGTATTTCTGCCTAGTTTCTATTAAGTAGATTTTTACATAACTGTCTAAATCTTTACTGTTGGCAATCTAATTATGAAGTCAAATGATATGTTTATAAAGTGATTCAACCCATTGCTACAAATTGCACGTGAACTTTTAAAAGGGATCTGTTTAGTGTTGAGAACTGTTAACATTTAGATGTGAAGCATCCACAAAATCTCCTGTGTTGAAGCCTTGGTCCCCAGTGCAGCAATGTTCAGAGGTTCGGCTTCTGAGACATGATTGGATTGTGAAGGTTCTAACCTCATCAGTGGGTTAATCCATTGTCTGATTTATAGCTTAATGGGGTTTTGGGAGGTGACAAAAACTGTAGGAGGTAGTGCTTTTTTGGAGGAAATTTGTCACTGGAGGCATCCCCTTAAAGGGCATATTTTGTTCTTGCCTCCTTCCTCTCCCTTTCTGCTCCTGGTTATTATGAGGTGAGCAGCTTTGCTCCACCGCATACTCCTCACCATGATGCTCTGCCTCACCTTAGACCCAGAAACAAGAGAGCCAATGACAACGGACTGAAATCTCTAAAATCATGAGCCAAAATAAATGTTTCCTCCTTCAAGTTGATTTTGTTACAGTGATGGAAACTTAATGCACACAGTAATCCTGTCCTAGGACTCAACAATTCTATATTCCTAAGTTTATACATAAAAGGAATGAGAACTTATGTCTGTCAAAAGAGCATGGTCATGGAAATTTATAGCAGCTTCATTCATCAGGATCCCAATTTGGAACAGTCCAAATGTCTATCAGTAGTGGTATTTAAAAGAATTCAATGGAATACTCCATAATGATGAAAAAGACCCGCTGGTATATGCAGCAGTAGTAATAACTCTCCCACATATGATGGTGAATGAAGGAAGCCAAATGCAAAGGGAGCCTGCTTGGACACGATGTTCAGGAAGAAGTAAAAATAACCAATGATGACGGAAGTCAGAATGATGGTCATGGCTATGAAGTGGGGGTGGAAGTGGGAAGTACTAACTGGTGAAGGCCTCCTGGGGTGATGGAAATATTCTGGATCTTGATCTGGGTGATTGGTTACACATGTGTACATGTCTGTAGACCTTAAACAGTTCATTTTCATGCACTTGAATACAGTTTACTGTATGTGTGTTACAGTGGTAAAAAGCAATAAATACATAAGCACATAAATAAAATTTATCACTACCTTCTATATACCCAGAGATAGATTGTTCTTGTGCACTGATTCTCACAGAGTTTGCATAGGAGGGAAATGATGCTGTGGGCAGATGTTCATGTGTAGGTGTTAGCAGAGGCAATTGCACTCAAGATCCCAGCCTTCTCCCTTCTTTTTAAATGTATATTCTGTATCCTCTTTGGCCTTCTTGATCATTTGGGAGGCTATAGCATATAGAAAGGGATGTTACCATGGGAGGGAGTGGGAGAGGGGACAGGAAAAAAAATGAGTTTCATAAGCTTAGGTCCTGAGGGGACTCAGCAGAGATGAAAAATAAATTGTACTCAGACAAAACTAGGCTTCCTGCCAAGCAGAGTAGATAAAGATTTGCCAGATAAGAGAGTGAACGAGATTTGGAGGAAAAGTAAAGAGTGAGAAGAGATGGGTCCTTGAGAAAGGGGCCTTGTCTTTTCTATAGGACTTCCTGGAAGGACTGAGGGTTCCATCAGTATCTTGCTCCCACACTTCTTTTTCTGAATACCTTGCCAATTCCATATTTTCCTTTTCTTGTTGATTATTAGTGTTCCCAGACAATCAATGTTGTATTTGTAGGTTCTATTTTACTTTCTCTGAGTCTATTGGGCCAGAAAACATAAGTTTACCTATTTAAATAGTGTCATAAATGAACAAAATAATTTCTGTATTCATATCCACAGTCTCCTTATGACATTTAATTTTCAAAAATTTGATATAAAACTCTTTCTACTAGGGATTCAAGTTCCAAGGATTTTTCTGGCATGAGTTTTCCTTTAAATTTTATGGTTTATTGGTTATTTTTTAACCTCAAAAATACATTTTTCTTTCAATGAAACAGTTGGTTAAAAATATAGACTGGGAAAATAGAAAAATATTCCCTAATAGCAGATATTTTAGTGCTGGAAAGTAAAACCATTTTTTTGGCCTGCCTATCTGAGACAGTTGGGAGAGTGATTTATTCATATCTGCTATGATAAATGTTCTCTGTGTTCCATTTGTGCTGGGAGAGACTCAACTGCTTGTTTACAGCATTTTTGTCTTTTGATTTTGGCACCATAAACAGGCATAACTAGAGACATGGGTCTTTCCTGAAAAACTGATTTGAAAGCCCAACGTTTTATTGATTACTATGCCCGAACAGCTTTAGACTTCAGAATATGTAGTGGGCCAGCAAACACATGGCAATTAACCTTAGATATGGGGATTTTCTGATGGACAAATTAATGCTGAATTACATGTTGACCCCCAAATTATCATTTTCTTTGTCATATGTTAACATTTTTTTAGCCTTCTATTTCTCATTTCATTGAGAGAATAGCAGTGTCATAGTAACCCAAGGCTTTATATTTGTCTTCTTCCTGAAACACAACATTATTAAATTACATATACAAATCAAATTCTCTTGAGGCTCTAAGGCATGGATATATTCCTCTGAATGTGGTCCAAATTGAGAGCATCACAGAACTTGTGAAATCCACCATGCATTTCAGATTCAATACTTCACACCTCATCAAAAGGTTGTCAGCAAGTCAGGAGACACAGAAATTTAGAGACAGAATGAAGCATTTCTGAGTCCCTGTCAGTCTTGTCAAGTCTTTGTTTCCCAGACTTTGTAGAATGAAAAGCTTAGCAGTAAGAGTGGGGAGGAATCTCTGTATTTAAAAGATATAACAGTGTTTTCTAATGTTACAGTTAATAGCCTGGTTGTGTTTATGTTGTTCAAAGAGTCTCTATTTGTACATCACAATATGTAAGTCTGTAAAACCAAAGGCAGCAGCATGCTGGCATTGTCATTTTCCTTCTCCACAAAAATGTATTGGATAGTAGCTGGAAATTTGTAACCTACTGAATACACTTGGAGTTTATATTTTTGACTTGCACTATTCTACTCTGTCCCTTAATATGCATTGTTTTGTAGATGTGACACATTACAACTTAATGCCAAGAATGATGGAAACCTTCTGTAGCTTTGTTTCTTACCATCTTGGATTTTACCTTAAAGATGATTAAAAACCAGAATATATTTTCTGGAATGGCATTAGCAGGAGGCACTGCTATATTTTTAATTTTTTAAATTGCTCATGTTTAGGAAAGGAAACCTCACCTGTTCATTTAGACACTCTGTATACCCTACCTATCATCACGATTTTGCTTTTGTTGGTGGTATCTTTATTTATATTTATATTTATATTTATATTTTATATTGTTTCTGATTCACAGGCTTGAAGTCACAGTGACTTGCTCTTCCTCTTGCTTACTGATTTACTCCAGCATTTGCCATGGCCCAAACCATAAAAAAGCAATTCCAGAACTAGGGATGTAGCTCAATGATAGAGTTTGCCAGCATATGCACTCCCCTGGGTTCAACCTCTGTCAAGAAAGAAAGAAAGAAAGAAAAGAAAAGAAAAGAAAGAGAGAGAGAGAGAGAGAGAGAGAGAGAGAGAGAGAGAGAGAGAGAGAAAGAAAGAAAGGGAAAAGACAAAAGGGAAAATTAATTGCACAAGAAGCTTTGGGTTTGACTGAAGATCCATTAGTCCCATTTCAGTGATGCTTC